AGTGCCGCCGCTGGATCCATCGGAAAAATGCACGGGTGTTCCACATCGGAAACCATCTCGATCCCGTTCGATGTGTTATAACTCGGTGCATGAGGTGAGAGAATCTGCTCAAGTAATCTCGAAAGGTTTTTATGACGGTATCGAGTGTGAGCAAATGTTTGCTTCGGGTATGGTACTCTTTCACAACAAAGAGCATGAGAAACTGAACCGAGCACCGACACCGAGTGGGAAACACTCTGCCGCTATCGAAAAAGTGTGTATCTCCTGGGATATCTGCTGGAATTCTGCGAAACTCATGGGAAGTCTTTAACTAGGGCTGCATTTGAGCATAGTAATGTAATCAGAAAAGGGCCCTTATGGTTCCTACGCAATTGCGTTGGAGTTCTCTGAAGAGCAACAATGAGCTCTTCCTCAACTGTTTACAGCTTTAGACATCCGCATTGTACGCTTTACGCTTGTTTCTTGGCACCGATGGCTGACCAGTGTTTGCCATTCTTACCCTTTGCACAAACGGTTGATTGAGAGACTTTTCCATACGACACAATGCCGTTGTTGCCTATTCCCTGCTCAACGCCTCATTGCACTTTTAGTCATTATGCCGTTTCAGAGGATTTTCTCGTGTCACATCCAGCAGAACAGATCTATTTAGTGTCGAAGTCCAGTGTCCCAGCTGAGCATAACGGTGTTAAGAATCAACGCGTCCCTCAAAATCTGGCCAGTCCGTCTAGCTGATGAGCATTCGTATTTATACAGTCCTCAAAGCCAATAAAAGTGGAAAGAGTACCTTGTACTTTATTTAAATCGATTCATGATGAGCCGTGTGTTTGGGTTCCATTCAAAACCTCAATGGTTCTGAAATTGTGCTTGAACCTGTAACGATTTATGATGCCACCGTGGTGAAAGTCAGGGTTTTTTCATTAAAGAAGAGTCTGTCCCAAATAACCTGCCATATAAGGATTAAAGGATAAAGCATTTGCCGTTGATCAATCCCTTTTTGGGATGCGGCACGCATTCTACTTCCATTTGTACATTCGTAGTGGCGTTTGAATGCGATGTGGCCTATACAATGACTTGCGGGGCCAGCCGATGTACAAGTCAGTGTTTTTATCCTCCCAGACAAGTCTGGTACCAATTAACCGACCCCGGAGGGATGGAAGGGCCGGTTGACCTGGGCGACCTGAGCGCGTGCTTCACGAACCTACGGATTTGAGTCACGGACCGCCGCGCGGGGTTAAGCGCTGGCACGTGCCATTACACCACTTCGCTGCCCACATATAGGAATGAAATAATACAGTTGGCTGGTCTAAAATTCAATCAAGATGTCGAGTATTGGGTTATCTTCGGTTGTGTAGCACCAGGTTTAAGCTGAATCGACCTCGGACACCATCTCCTTTCTTTCGAGGTACAGAAGTGAGAGATCTCCCGATGATTGCGGAATGGTGGGGAGTTTCATATTATTCGATGTGAGTTAGGGCTGGGCGAGATTGACCACTATGTATTGTCATTTCTTCCTTAACATTAAATAAGTTATACTTCTACAAATTCACACTTACAATCTGTTTGTATATTCAGTGGCGACGAAAAGTTTGCTTCTTCATTTCGACTTTTAATAGGTCCGCGCGTTGGCGACAAACGAAGATCGACTTCTTGGAATTCACAAGAGTATACATGGGGTTGGCCAAAAAAGGATAGACATTTTGACATTAGGGTCCCACTGCGGCCTTTTTTTCTTCTCAGGAGATTTGCCGCGTGACTCGGAAGAGGTTTCTCAGCATCTTCCATTAAATCTCCCGCTATGCTGTACCACGCTGTGCGCTTGCAGACTACCTTTAAGATTAGGACGTCACTCTGTTACCGTTCGTCGGGGGATGAGGCCATCGAGTTAGAGCTGAACAATTTGTTTAACTGCTTCAGCCTGAAGCTCTTACATAATTTCTTGGATCGATTCAACGTGGGATAGTTTCCTAGGGACATTAGCTCTAACTATGCAAACCCCTCGGAACCCGCCCGGAACCCGTCGTAACGGTACACGATCAGTCGAGAACCCCATTGAGCTCGACCAGAGCACCATGTTTCCGGGGCAAACTTTTCTGATGCCGTCCACGTAGATGGCCACTATGAAGATTTTCTTATGAAATGAAATGCGCTCTTCAATCTTAAAGGCAGCGGTTACGCTAGGTTTGAATGGGGTTTAGAGGGGACGAGGGGGTCCTCAATGGTACGTCAGTGGCGAAAGAAGCAGCGAAATCCGTCCAGGAAACGAGAAATGGGACCCCCTTTTGGGCCGTTGATTGCGGCTCTCAGATGGACTGCGGCGAAGACCGCGCACGCGTGGACGAGATTGCGCAACGCGTGCTGGGCAGCAAACAGCAGGCATGGCGCCCTAACCGCGCTGCGGCTGGCAACACGGCTCGCCCAAGCCACCGATGAATCATGGGGCGGGGCGGCGCATGGGGCGGAAGGGCGCAATGGTCCTGCTCAGCAACCACAGCACTGTTCGCAGTGCAAGCGCCACACATCGCTTCCTTGGCGGCCTGCTAGTTGCTCTGTGGGGAGCAGGTTCTCCGCAGATGTGAAAATTCCTTTTCGTACCCACTTCCTTTAAGAACGCGGCATATCTCGGCAGAAGTATAGCCGGCGGCGTGAAGGGCAAGAATTGCAGCTCGATTCAGATGAGGTGACAACATTTACCAATGAAGATGTATCGAAGCGCGAAACCGAAGAATTATACGCAGATTCTGGCGAATTTTATTATACAGTCAGGGGCCCCACTCATGGTTTTGTTATTGTGCTTTTTTCAGAACAATTTTGTTACCATAATTATGCCCCACCCTGCATGCTCATAGTGAATGTTAAAAGACGTGCGAGGTCAACTTGCAGCCTAACGCATAGACTGAGTAGGTATATTATCTCCAATCAGTATCGAAGCTGTCTGAAAGGATGATAGCAGTAATTTGCGGGACCTACACATAGGTCAGGGCTACACATAGGGTGGACCTACACATAGGTCAATGTGCATTCAATTGCCTCGACAATTGCGAGCCGAAGGAATGCATTCCCAAGTGGAATAGATCAATGTAGAATGAATACTGTTTGATTGACACTTGAATGAAGCTTTCAAAAAGTCTCAATTTCCAAAGTCTTACCTGCGCCGTCATTCTTATTTCACTGTTGGTTTTGAAGGTAAGACTTCCTTTGATGAACATTGTGGTGAACATAATAGTATAAGCCGTCACGTTCACAATGCCAATCAAATAGTTGGATAGTTGATTTAGCCTAGAGTAAATACATTACGCCGAAGCTGAATCGATTTGAAGGATTGAAGACGTGGAGGCCTCATTGTCAGTTATAAGGCCAGCAAGATTCCATAGTATGTCATGGAATTCCAACGTATCATGAGGGTGTCTTCGTTTTTTCTATTTAAATCAACTTTTGCAACTGCAATGCTGTCGTTATCGCAAGGATGCAAGAAATAAGATATGTATATGACCAATCCAAAAAAAGCGGCTGAAAGCTGAGATTGAAGGAGGAATTCACGATAAGAACGAAGGTCAAAGAAGGGGAAAATTGCATAGTTGGGAGACAGGCGGACCTCCTGAGGGTGCTGACCGACGCGCAATTGGCAGCGAAAGATTTGACCTCGGCGATCTAGCATGGCTCACTCTTGGCGCGGTTGGCGGGTACGCCCACCGACTATCTAATCACTCGCCGCAGGTCTATACGTGGCGAGTGATTAGATAGCAGAGAGAGCGTTGAAGATTTCCTCAACGATGACTCGCGCTCACTGCCGAGAGTGAACGTACGCGCGGAGAGCACAGACGGCACGCACATGGCGAGTGTGAATGTCCGCGCGAGAGATCGTCTCTGATCGGGCAGAGAATCCTCGACGTGCCGTTGAGGAATCCTCAACGCTTGACCCTGCGCGTAATGTTAAAGAGGGCACAGCGATGAGAGTCGCATCAATGCGCAAATCAACGGGCAAGGAAGGGGTACCATTTTTTTCGCAGGAATTCGCTTCAGGTTTCGCTCCATTCACAGGAATTCTTCTTCATCCTGCTCCACTGACCACCTCTACCCTCATTTCCAATGAGCTAAATTCTCATTGTAAACTGCCTTCAAGGTGGCGACCGCAATAATTTTATGGTGTTAATTATGAAAGCAGATGCAAAATCGCAAGGCAACAACAAAGAGATTTGGATTAGTCGTCAAAACCCGGGAACAGGAATGTTCAAGGCTGTTGACCACGGACGAGCTTGCGGCTTGGATGATGGAAGTTTAGGTAAGTGTGCCTGTGGAGTATAAGAGAGGCACATTAGGTATTTCAACGAACTAATGCTTGGACGTTTGCTGCGGTGCTAAACATTCTAAGTGAAATGGAACGCCAGCGGCAACAATAGTGAAAACTTCAAAACTCAAAAACCACGCTCGAGGGCAGAGTGGCTTCGAGGTGGGCGAGCTTCGGGTTTGTGCGCTTTTGCCTCGCAACAAATTCTCCTGGCTGCAAAACCGCCACACCTCGCTTATACTGCCGGCAGATTACCGCTTGCACTAGTGCATGTAGTGCAACGGCGTGAGGAACCTGAGGAGGAATGTAGCTTCCGCATGAGATGTCACTGCCAAGTAACACAACCCGATGAAATTTGGTGAAACATGCAACGTGGCAGAAAGAAGTGACATTTCCTTCAATGACAACGGCTACACCCAGTTCAAAAGAAGGGATGACTAAGGTCTGCGAAAACGGCGGAGCCTTTTGATATTGTAAGCTTTGCAATATTCTGCCATGCTAGCCATAAGATTGGTAATTACTTCTTGTGAAGAAGCATTCCAGTTGACAACTGCTGACATAACCAATACCCAAAACTTAAAGCCAAATCCCGGGATGATGTTGGGTGCGAACCAACAGAGGGTACCAGTTCCATGGGTAACTGCTTAGACTTCCGAAAATGTCAGGTCGGCATCGCGACGCGGTGCCACACCCCTCTATGTGGCCATTTCGCGATATGCGCTTCCAAGTGAACATATTCTCATGCGTCCACATCATTGATCGTGGACCTATTCTTAACGTCCGTCATCAATAACGGGATTGAAATTACATCACAATACACGTAGACCATAGAAGTAAGGATCATCATCCATAACAAATAATAGTAGGAGAATACTAGATGCTTCAGTGCATGTTTTGTTTCATTTTACAAAAAGATATGCAGTAGAATTATTTCCAAACCCACAACTTTTACAAAAGTAGCTACGCAGGAGAAAATTGGAGGCATTAGAACGCTAAAAGAACAGGATAAAGAACTAAGGAAATTTTATATGTCATTTTAATTCGAAATTTACTCAAGTTTTGCGTACAGGAACTCTTAACGCCATAAATGAGTTGCAAAGGGTTTCAATCTCGTAAGCTCGTCCACTATTCAACTCACTTCTGGCAGAGAACGAAAAATCACAGGCAAAAAGAAAGAGAATAGAAAAAGGAGTAAGAAAATTTTACAAATACTCTGTAATTACCGTAATGTACTATATTGGTTGCCTTCAAACAAGTAAGTTGGCTATAGTGCTTCTTGTCGTTTCTTGATAACCCCCCAAAGAAGTCAGGAAGAAAAAAGAATAAAGACGACATGCATAGCAAACAGCTGACGATCATCAGTTAATAGTGTCCTTTTGATTGCTTGGCAAGATGCCAGGCCTAAGCGGTACCGTAACTGGTCCTGTGACACTCAGCCTGCCCTTGGCTGACGACCCGACCTGACATATTCGGGAGTCTTGGTACGCAGCCCTGGTTCCATCACCCAAAAGGCGCATTTAGGGCGCTCATCGTTAAAAAGCAAACATCACAACTCTTCTCTCCCACCGCGATCGTATTGGTAGAACCAAATATGCAAAAGTTTCATCCAAAACTCCATATGTTTGCCGTAACTTGCGGCCACCCTATTATTGGCTTACTTATACTAATACGGCTCGTCCTCAGTTCATCTGCGAGCACCAGCAACAAACCATTCGTTTCGTTCTTTCGCAATCGCCATCCATGGTTGTTGTAGAAGTCGTCGGAGACGGCGATCTGAAGCATCGTTCAGCTGCATTCGCAGCTGCTTTATGTGATTGACGAGTGCATCTCCCCATCTCGCAGCAGGTCTCCCTTTGGACGGAGCCCACTCTACCGTTCTTCTTGTCCACCTGTCATCTGCTCTCCTCATGATATGACCGGCCCATCGTAGCTTGGCGTTTGTCATGTACTCCACAGGGTCTCGGAGACGGGACATTCTGCGTAGGTCTGCGCTGCGGAGTCCGGCTCGATATTGAGTAAATCGATTAAACCTCAAAAGACATCGCTCGAGCGCTCTGTGAGCTACAGTCAAAGTCCTTGACGTGGATGCACTGCTCACCCATGTCTCAGCCGCGTAACAAAGCGCAGGAAGAACTGTAGAGTCAAACAAATGCGCACGAAGTTCTGGGTCAGCCAGATGGTTGGTAACTTCTTTCAGAGAAGCGGGGGCCCACGCTGCTCTCTGTCTTCCTAGCTCTTCCCTTCATATCGTTTTCCATGTTCTAGAGCGCCCGAGATAAACGTAAGATGCGGCTTCCTTGATAGGTGTGCCATCACACTGTGTCTTTTCTTGGATGATCCGCAAACCACCTTCTTTTCTGTTCCATTCAGTTCAGCGAGCATCGTCTCAGCTTCCGTAGTGCTACTTGAGAAGAGAACGATGTCGTCGGCGAAGCGCAGATTCGAGAGGTACCGTCCGTCCACACGAATGCCTTTCTCATTCCAAAGCAGCAGCCTTCTCACTAGTTGCAATGCCTCCTCGATCTTGAGTGGAACTTTTATATTTTTGAACTTTCATTTACTAACCATCGAGAGGAAGGAATCTCAATTGACTCCGAGGAACAGCTACAACATCATAGCACGAGCTGGATTGCCTGGTGCCCTTCCTCCAAAGGCACCTTAGTATGTTGAACACGGAATTCCACCGAATATTGATCTTGTAGTGCTATTTGCATAGTGATGTCATATTTTATGCATACTTATTATTGACGAAAATAGGGAATCTGAACGTACCACGAGATGAATGGATAAAGAGGTGCTCTCCCAAAGTAGAAGAAAAAGTGAGCTGCACAGAAGTGTACAGACGCCAGTGGTGACAGAGTAATCGCCATGTACGCCACAAAGAAAGATAGTATGAACACCATACAGATCTGTAAATGGTTGAGTCCTTTTCAAAAATTACACTTCTGCTTTGCACTTTGACATTACTTCTTGTTTATTTTTATTTTATTGACACCCTTGTTATATTTTTATGGCAGAATAGTGAATCTGAAGAAATCGGAAGCTGAGAGGCAGGGTTAGCTAACGTTTAGGATTTTTCGACCGCTCTGGGATGGCAGGGATTCGACTTGGTGGAGTGGTAGTCGATCTTCGGAAACGATGAAAAGAGGACCTACTTAGGTTAATTTTAAGGAGATTTGAAAAAGACGGAGAAGCTCATACAGAATCGACGACTTTCTAAGTTGAGAGCTACTTCCGAAAAGTTTAGAGTTGTTTCTTGAAGGTTCGGTTGCACTTAGAGTCTTAGAGGTTTCTCCTTAAGCGAGGTAGTAGAACTCCTGATCAGAGGTGTAATGGTAGTGTCGTGACTTGAATGTGCGCGACAAGGGAGGTCATCCTTTCGCTCGACAACCGCAGTCATTTTTGTCAATCGTGACATACGCGACGCCTGGCTTACGTTTTTTTTGTACGTTTTTTTTTCACTTTTTCCCACACCTCGCAATGGTGTGTTCTCCATCATACCACGGTCAACCTCACCGAGAGAATTCTGGTGCTTCTGTTATGCCTTTAGTTTTTCACTCACTAACGTTCCTCGTCGAACTTCGTGTCTAATTTTCAAACAAAAAACACACAAACCCTATGTTGACCCCACGACTTCCAAAAAATCAGATAATTACAGACTGAAAAGAGATCATAGGGAGATAATGATCCTAGTGGTGTACCCATCTTTTGATTCAAAGGCGCGTTTGGGAGCAAACGGTTCAGTTCCAGCGAGAAGGTTAATCGCACAAGCTCTGCGAAGGGTGGTGAATAAAAAATATTCTGTGGGTGCAATCATCAGCCAGCGATGGAATTCCATGAACCAGGAGCAGATTCAATGGGTGTGGATTGGGGACTCACGTACATTGTGAAAAATTGGAGGTTATGAGGTCGTGGTAGACATGGATGCTCTCTGGGCGAGAGGACGCGGGCTAGCATAAAATTTGATACATAATGATAATACGCAATGGACAACTACGGAAGAACTCTGGATATGAGATAAGGTTGTCAATCAATGGATTGCGTGGCTAACCTGAATTTTTTTTGACCAAGTTTAAAACATAAATTTTCCAAGCCCCCCCACCACCCCAATCCTCCCGTATGAAAAAAACCACCAATCATGTGGCAAAGGTTGACAGCGGAATGCCACACGCGGACCTCAAGTCGCGCAGTGAGTCCTGATTTTCGTTCCAGCCTAATTTAACATTTAAAATGTGCAAAACTTGCGCTCTAATGCCTGCAGGTTCATAAACATCGCAAGTAAGCTAATTTATAACCAATCCGTTTGTCTTCAAACTGGTCCCTGAACACAATTGTTCTCCTGGTTCTTTTATGGGGACGGAATTCCGGAAAACCGTGACAGTTGCGTGACCATGACCATGTGCAGTGTAATGTTTAGAAACCGCATACCCAATGACACCATTCGCGCTCGTACGATGGTGAAGGACGTCGTCGATGCCATCTATAATTCCAAGCGGAGGTGGGCCGGTCATGTGGCTAGACTTACCGATGATCGCTGGACGAAGAGAGTGACTGACTGGTACCCAAGGGGAAAAACAAGGCCCAGAGGCAGACCCCCACCCGATGGGCAGACCCTCTCGTGAAATGTACGGCCAGCTGTGGCGCAGAAGAGCCCGAAGCAGAGCGACCTGGAAGATGTGCGACCTGCGTTTCTGGCGTGCCCGGGACGAATAGCGGTCGAGAAGTAAGAAGTAAGAAGTATGACAGCCGTGGGAGCACTTCTTCATAATGAATCGTGCTTTCTACGTTCAAATAGTTGAACGTGATAAACACTGGCATAAAAGTTCTACAAATGTATTCTGTTCACCTTCTTGGAGCTCGGCTCAAACTCCTGCGACGATAGTAAAGTGCCCCAGACTGGCAATCGAATGTGGTGATTTTCTTTTCACCCATTGACGAGGAACAAGGAACGTGGAAACATGGACTTGACCCTTCTTGAAACCGCCAGCCTCGCCACACTACCTGCAAAACTTGCGCCACTCTCGGACTTGAACCCTGGATGACAGGACTCAAAGCCGGGTTTTTGCCAGTGCACCAGGGATCACTCGATCACAGCATCGGAAGAGGTCTTGACAACAGGTAAGCAACGGATGTTGTTTGCAAATCTTAGACTCCAAGCGGTGTAGATCCAGCAACCTTGCCAGCGGCAGCGTGGAACGTTCCTATTGAGCCATTGGTAATTTGCCATAGTGGAAGTGGTGAGCCCCACGTTGCCTGCAAACCTTGCGTCACACACGGGTTCGAACTTTCGGTGCACCGTCCCATGAGCGGCATCGTTACCACTGCACTAAGGAGCCCTTCTTATCGGCGGTGAAAGGGTTGTAGAGAAAAAGGGCAAAGGTTGCAAACCTTCAGACTTATCGTAGTATTGATCCCTGCGACTGATCTAACGCCAACGTAGACCGCAGGCCGCTACACCACTGACGAATCAATGCAAGGTGTCTCCCTTTTCATTCGCTTTGTACCCACTTTGAAGTTGGCCGATCCAAAAAGTCCTCCGGAGGACTTTTCGAGGAGCGTCATCTGCGTCTCTCCAAACACATTGTATTTCGCCCCTCCGCGTCCCGTTTTCTGTCAGCGAGCCCTTCCTGCGCGTTTTACGGCTGCGCGTAACAAGGAACCACCCTGCCAGGGAGCTGCAGCTCACCTGGGAAGCTTTCTTCAGAGTTTCATAAATAGGTCTCCTAGGTGCCATAGAAGCGATTTCCACCATCATCGGAAAAACTTGCACCTCCACGTTACGTCCTGAAGACTGCCCGTTAACGTGCAAGTATGGCTAGTTTACTACCGTCCCTGGCATTTTCAATACGTCTTCGGCTTATAGCTGTCCGCACAGTCACATTTATAAGGTGAAACCCTTTGAAAATAGGGCGATTTTCAGAATTCTAGTCCTTTTCAACAAGGAGAGATGGATTTCTGCTATGCTTTTCCTCAGTTGCTTTCAAGTGATGCGTTTGTTCGTAATTTACCAACGGGATCGATTGGGTTTCAGTAGGTCATGTTTCGCCTTTTAATGTAGTGTGAGTGTTGGAAGAGGAAGGACCATGCTTGCGAGTTCCATTGGGGTGGGAGCAGGGTCAACCCTGCGTTGCGCAAATTCCAAAATTTTAACGACCCCTTTCCTTTTCGGAGGGTATCGGCACGACTATAACTTAATGGTGATCATTGATGTATGGGCACTCACCGACATGGAGAAGTGGTCAATCCACTCGCTTTGTCTCGCTCAGAGGAGGAAATCGAGGCAACATGAAGTTTTATTTATTAACCAGAAGGAATTCCAAATTTCTGCTTAACACGTTGACGACAACGCGCGTTTTGGGTTTTTGCGCCGCGTGGGACCACGGCGATTTTGCAGGCGCCGCCGCCTCACATCAAATCCGTGAATTTTGAGCTTTAAATACGCAAAACTCGGATGCAACAAAATGTTTAGAATGATATTCGATGTGTCAAACTTATCAGAAGGGACAACTGTAAAAATCGATCGAATTGACGTTTTCTGGCGATGAAAGGCAAGTTTCAGTTGCTTTTGCTGCAGTGAACCTCAAAATTATTTTTGACGCGGTTGCTCCACTAAAAACATATGTCTTGCTATATGTGTGGGTCTGTACTTACTTCTATTTTTTATGACCAAGATTATCAGAATATAAAGGAAACTAGGAATGAACACAATTGGGAAATTCGTAGGGCTTAGAAAACCTTCGCTAAAAAGGAGCATATTCAACCATTCAATGAACCTCGCCGTGTCTAGTCATATTATGGTGTAGTCTATGGAATAGATGCAAAAAATTAGAAAAGAAGTAGCGCATGCGCGAAAAAAAAAAATTACCCTAAAATCCCATAGATAAGAGCGGTCCATAGATATTTTTTCAAAAATAAAATAAAAATAAAAATATTTTTTCAAAATCATTTTTTACCGGTAAATTAAACCGCTCTTATCTATGGAATTTTACTGATCGAATGGGCTCTTCAAGTTCTATCCAGAGATCAAATTCCGGCATTTCTAGAGAGATTCCGGCAGAAATTCCGTTAAAATCGCTATTTTTCTATATGAATTGTTTAGAGTGAGGGGGGGTCTTCTCCGATTTTTATTTATCCATCCATCAAGTTAGAGGGGTGACTGCATTCAATTTCAATTTCATTCCAATTCATTTTTCACCGGTAAATTAAACCGCTCTTATCTATGGGATTTTAGGGTATGTTGTGTGTCCGGTCCCACACGGTGCCCAGGGTGTGATGCGCATGCGCTGCACAATGTCGTCAACGTGTTAAAGCAATACGTGGTAATAATCTTAATCTACTTTCAGTACCTACCAATTTTTTTCGATCTCTCAATTTTCCTTATTTATAATCTGAAAAACTAAACCTTGTAGCAATTACGTTGCAATTCAAACCCTCCATTCAGAAGGTTATATTTTTTTCAGAAGCGGTCTCATGGAACCGGACACCAAAATTTTCAAAAATTCAAATAGTTTTCTTCCTAAAAAGTATTTGAAATGTTACGAATGTTCAATACTTCAAAAAATCGTCCCGTTGTTCCGTTTTTTGTGCACACGCGAGTTTTCGACATTCAAACATTCATAACTTTCTTCATAATCAAACTTTTTCTTGTCTAAGGCTAATTAGAAACTAGAAGATTAGCGCTTTCAAACAAGCACCTGAATTTTCCAGCGATCATTCTCTCTCAAAAAATAGTCCCGTGTTCCGTTTTTTTTTGGGGGGGTTGTGGTCCGATTTTTAAGAAGGCGCGAGTTTTCGACATTCAAACGTTCATAACTTTCTTCATAATCAACTTTTTGCAGATGTCTAAGGCTAATTAGAAACTAGAAGATTAGAGCTTTCGAATAAGTGCTAAAACTTCTTGAAATAATCACTCGCTCAAAAAATAGTCCCGTTGTTCCGTTTTTCCACCTTGATTTTTTTCAAGCCATTTTCCTGGACCGCGACTATGCAGTCTTCAAAGGCCCATAACTTCCTTCAAAATTAATGTGATGAGAAGCGGTAAAGACTAGTTAGAATCTGTCGAGAGAGTACTTCATGACAAGTGTGAAATTCTCCTGAAATTCTTTCTTCTGCTTCGTCAATTTCCAAAGGGTCTCTAGGAATTCAGTTTCAGCAAAACTAAATTTGCTACATCTTTGTTCCGCTTAGATTTGATTTGAAAGCATCGAAATTCTCTTCAGGAAGTTTGTCTGCTCACGGCCTGTGACAGAGAAGGCGTTTTTATGGGAAAACGCCTGCTCGGGTATACGCCGTGCACCTGTCTGTGGACAGAAGTCGCACTCGCATTTGGAAGTCCTCCATTTTCCTGAAGAAGGTGTTAGTATCGTGACTGAGTTGCAATGTACTGTCATATGGTACTCTTGTTTCACCCCCATGAACTGCTCTACACTTTGTTCTCCTTGGGATTTCAGGAATGTTCGATCATCGAAGACAGACCATGTTTTTGCACTACGTGTAACAAGGTCTCCAAGTTCGCCTTTCTTGAAACCTTGGCATGTCCAGATAATTGAAAGTATTTCTGTGCCAAACAGGTTTTTTATAGTGAAGCGTTTATTGCCGACGTTTCGACTAGCTCGTCGTCTTCAAGGCCTGAAGGAAGCATTTCGAAGATTCTCAAATGAAACTTATCCTACTTAACGCTCACTCACTCCTAACTAGTAGCAACTCGAGCAAAAGGTGCAATCCGAGTTGAATCCAACATTGGTCACTCACCTTGGCTAAGGCAGTGAGGTGGTGAAGCCAAGGTGAGTGACCAATGTTGGATTCAACTCGGATTGCACCTTTTGCTCGAGTTGCTACTAGTTAGGAGTGAGTGAGCGTTAAGTAGGATAAGTTTCATTTGAAAATCTTCGAAATGCTTCCTTCAGGCCTTGAAGACGACGAGCTAGTCGAACGTCGGCAATAAACGCATTCACTATAATAAAACACACTGTTATGGCACAGAAATTTTTGCACTACGCTGTAACAAAGTTTTTGGCTATTGTAATCTTGATCTATGCTGTCGAGCGAAAGCGCCGTCCGTGTATTAAGGATAATAATGGCTGATAGTGAGACTTATAATGCTCTGCATGCTCTAATGCTCCCATGGAGCTCTTGTCTGTGTGACTCTCCGACAGCTGCACGGTGCAGAGCTCCTGGAGAACATTAGAGCGTGAAAGTGCACTCCCGGACACTGCACTTTTCAAGCCGTCTTGCAGCCCCGTCTCTCTGGATACGACCCCCTCCCCTTTCGTTCGGCTGAATACGACCCCCTCGTTGTTCTTTGCGCAACGGGCGGTTGACCCTGGGTGGGAGGGGATGGCGTCGGAAAGGGATCGCGTTGTAGGGAAATTCGTTTCCGAGGGAAATCGCCAAGACGTTTGGTGGTATGCGGGATCGTACCGAGCCCCGCTTAAGGATTGGGCGTCTTAAGATACTTTGATTTTTTTCAACGTCACAGTTGACCATAATTTCTTACCACTCGTCCGTGCAAAGGTTTGACCTGTTGTATGTAGACAACTAAAAAGACAAATCTTTTGAGAAGTGTATTTTTCTTAGCCTTACCCTCACGACGGTCGTTGTCAGTATGAATTGTGCCTTCATCGGAAGCAGGGTGTAAAAAAGACGGTGAGCTGTGAGACACATATTGGCGAAGACAAAAGCGAAGAAGCTGCCTTGATAGTTCGACCCTGTTACCTAAAGTATACTCCATTAGCAAAAAGAATATGTGCATCCAGTTGAATCAATTTCTGACCACTTTGTTTGCGATTCATAAAACATTTACTGATGTGCTCGTGTAATACTTTGTCAAATTTGAGTAAGTAGACTCCGACAGAAGGTCAAAGTGGCCATAATTTTGAGGATTTGGGAAAACCTTCGGAATGCCAACCCATTACTCAGCGTTCGGGATTTGCAGTTGAAGGAATCGTTCGCGGGAAGTTTCTGCATTCTTCTCCAACATATACACATCAATTTCGGTCACAGAAGACAACACACTTCGTGTTTCATTTTTCGTCCGATGTTCCGGAGCCGCGCAGGGATACAGTACTGGTGGAGCCGTAAGAAGTTGTTTCTAGCTCGAACCTTATTGTGAAACGTGATAATTGGCACTAGTAGGGTGTAAACGGATAGGTTACAAATCAGAGCATCGAACTACACTGGTGTGCAAGAACTTACAAAGGCACTGCAAGTACAGTACTCGCCGTTTGAAATCGAAAATTCACGCGAATAACGCGAATCCTCGTTAATTTCGTGAATTCGTTATAAGTCGGCTCAGAGTGAAGTATTCCAGAAACGGAAAACACCGTTGAACTCAGCTCTTCAAGCGCTACAAGATGGTGCTGTTATTTTTCAGAAAGCTTGATTTCGGAATGCGCCATGCACACGGGTTCTATCTCAAAAAGTAGTTGCTCGCATGTGATGTGTATATAATCCCGCTTATGCGGGCTAACCGCTACACACAAAGAAGGGCCTCAAAACTTACCCCAGAATGCGCCACGTACTCAATCTCATCCACTACATTGTGAGATTAGATGAATGTTATTTTCCGAATTCTTAGATCTTCATTTCGTTTTCAAGCGCTTACTAGCTTTACGTGTTCCCTCTGCTCTCAATATCCCATCCTCTGTATATCAAGTGGAATCTTTGAACAGTTCTCAGCAGGCATAGTGGGCCTATTATGTGACATTTTCCATTTTCGGAGGACATGTTTTGCAGAAAGCTGTGAAGATAGCGAACAAATTCCTTCACTGTCGTAGACTACGGTCACTTGTCTGTAAGGATTATATGGAAAACTTGGCCGCAGGTGAGCGCTTCTTCCGTGGTGTGACCCCAAACATGCCTCCTCGTCATGCCCTTGTGGAATGTTCAGATTTTTTGCATTTGCAAACACGCCCGTTTTCAGCGCTGGCGCCGTTTGGCGCGCCGCGCCAATTGGTCGCCACAGCTGTTTTCACCAAATCTGCTGAAACTTCGTCATTTGGGGTTATTTGGGGTCCTGATTACGAAAACGACATCCGTTTTTAGTGCTGGCGCCTAGGCGCCCTTTGCTGCCACATTTGGCGCCACGGCTGTTTCCACCAAATCCGCTGAAAACGTGTGTATAGGGGTTATTTGGCGTCCTGATCACGAATATAACATTCAGTCTTGACGCCGGCGCCATGTGGTGTCACAAACAACACTTCACAGTCAGAGCGTACTCTTAGGCACCTTTCTCAGAGCGCCGACTGTCAGACCGTGGAAAAGGTCATCGAATCGGAGACTTTCCCACGACAGGAAGGAGTCAGACCGTGGGAAAGGTCGCCGAATCAGACTTTCCTACGATAGGAAGGAGCCAGACCGTGGGAAAGGTCATCGAATCGGAGACTTTCCCACGACAGGAAGGAGCCAGACCGTGGAAAACTGTGAGCTAAGCCAGAAGCATATTTCACGTTTTCACTGGAGATGCCTGTATGCGTTGGGCAGAGCAGCAATTCGACTGTAAGCTCTCCAGCTGCCACTGAGGATGGTAGTACCGTGCTCGATGTACTACTTCATGATGAGCCGCAGTAGAGTTGAAACGTCCTTCCTTCGGACAATCCGAAGGAGTCCACTTCCTCTTTCAATGCCTCCAAACAGCCACTTGTGCCTGCGTACCCAACGTCGGCGGTTGTATTTACGTTTGATAACCAGTGTTTCGTCAGTTTCCCCCTCGCACCCAAACCTTCCGATGATCGGCGGGTTCCTCCTGAAGTGCCCCACACATTCGCCGCGGAAGAACCGCTCCCACTGAATTGAACTGCTGTGGCACATTGAGCTCGTATTCCTTGTCCTTCACCTTGCCATGTCGCGCAGCCAGAAATAGGGCAGTGCGAACACCGTTGACTCAGGAAAGTTACAGTTCTCGAAAAAGGAATCCTCTCAGGCATGAACGAGAGGATTCCTTTTTCGAGAACCTGGTCTCGTTCGATGGTCCAGTGCGGCACGCTCGGCCCAAATAACCCCAAATGACGAAGTTTCAGCAGATTTGGTGAAAACAGCTGTGGCGCCAAATTGGCGCCAAACGGCGCCAAATGGCGCCAAATGACACCAGCATCAAAAATGAATGTCATATTCGTAATCAGGGCATCGAATTACCCCAATAGACAAAGTTTCGACGAAAAATGAAACTTTGAGATTTTGGGGCAGTAAATCGGGATAGTGATCCGGCAATAGGGGAAGGCTGAAAACGGTGAAAAACCAAAGTTTCAACTGGGGAAGTAATGCATATCATTCGATAGCATTTTTCACGGGAAAGCTAACGGGGCACATTTCAGGTCTGCGAGTTCATCTGGAAATGCAAAAAATCTGAACATTCCACAAGGGCATGACGAGGAGGCATGTTTGGGGCCACACCACGGAAGGAACGCTTACTTGCGACCGAGTTTTCCACATAATTCCTACAGACAAGTGACCATAGTCTACGACAGTGAAGGAAATTCTTCGCTTCCTTTACAGCTTTCTACAGAACATTCCTCTAAAAATGGGACTTGTCACGTAATAGGGGGCAAAGGCATGACAAGGGGTGATGTTTGGGGTCACACCACGGAAGAAGCGCTCACCTGCGGCCAAGGTTTCCATATAATCCTTACAGACAAGTGACCGTAGTCTACGACAGTGAAGGAAATTGTTCGCTATCTTCACAGCTTTCTGCAAAACATGTCCTCTGAAAATGGAAAATGTCACATAATAGGCCCACTATGCCTGCTGAGAACTGTTCAAAGATTCCACTTGATACAGAGGATGGATATTGAGAGCAGAGGGAACACGTAAAGCTAGTAAGCGCTTGAAAACGAAATGAAGATCTAAGAATTCGGAAAATAACATTCATCTAATCTCACAATGTAGTGGATGAGATTGAGTACGTGGCGCATTCTGGGGTAAGTTTTGAGGCCCTTCTTTGTGTGTAGCGGTTAGCCCGCATAAGCGGGATTATATACACATCACATGCGAGCAACTACTTTTTGAGATGAACCCGTGTGCATGGCGCATTCCGAAATCAAGCTTTCTGAAAAATAGCAGCACCATCTTGTAGCGCTTGAAGAGCTGAGTTCAACGGTGTTTTCCGTTTCTGGAATACTTCACTCTGAGCCGACTTATAACGAATTCACGAAATTAACGAGGATTCGCGTTATTCGCGTGAATTTTCGATTTCAAACGGCGAGTACTGTACTTTCACATGATATCTCACTGCTAGTTAACCTAGGTGGACCAAATTTGGCACATATATAGAAGTAAATGTTGCGGTACAGTGCAGAGAGTTACTAACAGAAAAGCGCAAAGGGGCGATTGGAAAAGACATTTTTCTGCAAATACCCTGTCTGAAGCGGTCGATAGGTGAGGCTTCTCCAACTCATGGTAGACATTCAAAAGAGAGGAGCTGGTTCTTGATGGGGTGTATGAACACTACGGACTGCAAGGTATGCTCTGCTACGTGTTCCCATACAGGCCGTAAGATTAGTTAAGAGTTCTTGAGGAGAAGTGACCGATTCCTTGGAGACCGCGATTGACAACTGCAGGACTATTGTTGGCACATGGTCATGTGCTACAATAGCTCATCTGAATCCACGCCACACGTGCTCCATAGAATTAGACTGGAGGAAATAAATGGCTTCACCAATTACCGAAAATCCTCACTTTTCAAGAGTTTTCCACCCAGGCTGCTCGATACTCTCGCACACTGCCCTCCATACGATTGAAGCTGAGGGCAAGGGAACCCTTGGAAAGATGCACATGACAGAAGGGTACAACACCACAATCACGTTGATCAGAAAGTGTAACGCGATCATGAGTTGGGGATCAGTACGCCCCGACAACTTTATGCCTCCCCACATCATGTCGCATGCACTACCAAAACAATCATGTTAAACGATGGTCCTGGGTAGATTACACGTTCCTATTTTCCCCATATGCAGGTAAGTCCAGAATCACTACTCACATTCAGTTTGCTCTTGACCGGGAAGAATACGCGATTTTTCAATTCGGTGGTCCATCTCCAATGTCTCGGCTCGTACCAAATGTCCCAGCCGAGGCGTGGATTTCAAATGAATACAGGTATTGTTGATCGATGAGAGAGATCACCCCTATGCGGTCACTGCGCCACTGTCCGGACTGGGATTACATGCCTTACAATCCTGATAAATGTTTTTGCAACTGCAGCATGTGACTGACGTGGGTCCATTTTTGCCTGTAGCAAAACCTAGCAATCACCTGCTGCTGCGGTTGTTCGTGACCCACAACCTCCTCTTCTTGGGACAGCAGTGGCTGCGGTCCACATTGCTTCTCATGCACAAAAAACAATGCTGTGGTTGACACAAAACTCCTGGACACAACTTCCTTTTTTCAGTTTCCCAATGATTCTTCCTCGCGTAAAGTCACCCTAGTGTTGTCTCTGAGACTTGATGTAATCAAGAACACCACTACATTCCACAGTCACTTCTCCCTGCTTAGTTCACCCCTCTTGTCCTGCCCCACGATACCCATCGTTCTGGGTGGCCACCCCATTTAGGCTCCAGATTGAAGCCGGATGCAAGACATATGAGGCCCACTTCGGTGCCCATGACTGTAGGGCTTCTAGCATTATGCCCGTACAGTTTCATCCAATTCCATCTAATTGTTAATAAGTTAGGACAATTTATCTATCTCGTCCTTAAGTTTTGCACACCAGTGTATTTTCAGGTCTTGAGAACGACGATTTGTTCGAAACGTCGACAAATAAAGTGTTCTACCATAACAGAAATGAAAGGCAAACAGAAGCAAGACACAACATACAACGTTTTACGCAAGGTTCCCGAAGAGAAGATGACCTACGAAAACCGCTCACAAGGGAACGGTTGCGTGTAGGTCTGTAGGTCGGGAGGAGGCAAGTGAATGCATGGAAAGGAGTGCGCCTCATAGAGATCACGTATCAGGCGACGTATGGGACAGATTGAGTAAAAGCGTTCGAATTCGGAGAAGACAACGATCGAAGAGAATTGGATGCAGCAGAAAAGAAAAATGTTACTGCCATAGGGGAAAAGGCTTAAGAGTTAATTGTAACGGCATTCCGAAAACCAGATGAAAACCTTCTCGGCGCAACATTTGTGAGAGATATACGGTGCAAGTTTGTATGCGTATAATGCTTCCGGTATCTCTAGTTGCTGACCAAAACAACCTCAATTTCTTTATTTTTTTTCATTCTTATCATGTGTGATGGGTCTCATACCCCCCTGGTTTTTCTATGGAGGAGAAGCATGATTCTTCCGTGAATGACTTCTTTGATAATGTTCTCAGTTCTTCACTTTCGGGGAGAAACAAAAAGGGGTCCATTGCAAGGTATGCAGGCGTCGTGGTAGCAATGCACCCAAAACCGCGTAGAACATTTCATTTTTGCTGGAAGCGGTACTGTTCGTTAGGAGAGGAAGGAGACACCTCAGGGTGCGTGAACAATTTCCATGTTTCTCGGAACTGTTGTTCTTTTTAGGCTTGGTCTAAAGGATGCCCGACACCTCGCATAGCGCCTAAAAAGATGCTATATTTATTGTTTTATGTGGCTTTTCCGATATAGTAGCTTAGATTTGATTCGTAACCTGGAGAGCTCAGGGCGTTCGAAGACGAATCAGTCGGTAGATAGATATACCAACAACCCAAGATAGCTAAGGAGGCTGAATATCGCCATAATTTGCAGAAGGTAGAATGCAAAGTTCGACTTCCAGCCTTTCATTTTCTGGCACGTCTGGAATAGTAAGCTCTGCAAAATTAATATATTTTGTAACGAATTGAGAACTGAAGAGCGTTCTCTGCTGATACATCAGCTTTGAAAATAAGTGATGAATCAAATTCCAAGAGCTATTTGTAATATAGCACTCGGCAAATGTTCCGTTCAACTATCATTGCAGCCAAACGGTCTCATAACTAAACGAAAAGACCTGCGGAACGTTTCTTCACAGGCCGCATTTACTAGCTCCCTTCCTTCTTCAAAAGAAGGGGCACATGAACATTCCACATCTTCGTCGGCCCCTTCCTGTGTAGGAAAAATACTGATCAACACTTGCGCCCTACCTGCCCTAATTAAAGCGAGGGATTACGATAAGTTTGGACTGGGTTCATAGTGGAAGTGGAGATGCTGAATAATGCCCCAGTGGCGAAAAAAGCAAAGAAATCCGTCAAGAAGGCGCAAAATGGGCGCCAAAATGGGACCCCTTTCTTTGCCCGTTGACCTCCGATAATGGACGAGCTAGCAACCAATTAGGAGGTCGTTTGCACATGTTATGCTGATAGCCTCTATCATTTCAGCAAGCATCATGCTTTGATTGATCACGCATCCCATGAAAAGTTATAGGATACACTCTGGAAGTGGAATATCTCGTCACATTGGCAATCGAAGGGCGCTGCTGCTGGGGGCGGAGCACAGACCGTGGCGGGGCTCAGAAAGGAATGGCAAGCCTTGTACGCTGCAACTAGCGCACCTTTGACCACAAAAACGCAACATTTCGTTTCCTTGGGCCCCTGACTACTGCTTCCAATGGTGCATGTACTTCCACGCTGCATACGCACTTTATCGTAATCTCTCGCTTTAAGTGTGATGGACCAACCATAATCTCATCCAGCCAACTATATCCCCTATCTTTTCGGGATC